AAATTGTATTCCGAGAAATACAGAAGCTCTCTTGCTAGGACAAGAAACCGGGAATTTCAAATTACCAAATATGCCATAGTAAAAATAGATAAAAACGGCGTATTTTTTACCTCACGTCATAATGATATAAATCCAATTCGTAAAACTGTCAACTCTTTCACTTTTAAATTAGAATCATTTAATAATCTCAATAATCGCAATTTTAAAGAAATTAAAAATTGTAATGATCGGAATTTCGAAATAAAAAATAAATTACCATTAGTCCATCCTAATAACGTATTTTATTTAAAAACTAATCAACTGTCATTTGCAAGTAAAATCAAACATTCCACTGATGCAAATAAAACTAAACCAATATCTACAAAGTATCATAGGTACCCACAGATTCACAATCAAGAAGTCAAATCTCAGATCAATACATGTGATTAAGATTTCAATCAGCAAACAAGTGTCCTAAAACGTGCTCCGCTAAAAATTGAATCATGTGTGTGAATGTGTACGAATAAAAAAGTGATTTATACCAAAATGTTCAGTGAAAAATCTACTTTCTGAAGAAATGTAACTAGAAACAAACCTAGAGTGAGTAAAAGTGCATAAATAGCATTTATGTAGAGAATAATCCAAAAAGACAATTAATAATTATAAAAACTGGTCTTGATAAACTGATTGTGATACTGGATAGCAAACCGTTTAAAAATCGAAAAAGACTAAACAGTGGCGGAGAAAGATAGATTATAAATTGTTTAACGGATTGATTAATCACGTAATTACGGTAAAAATAAAAAAATATATATACAGGGTGGCTCACGCTCAACGGGACGGAGCTTTATGGGAAAACGACCAAAGATAAAAAATTCGTTTGGGAGGAATACGTAGGTTACAGACAGCTACAATTTAAAATTTGTTAGATGTATACAGGATGTCCCACATAAGAGAAAATATACAAAGTTATATTATTTTTAATGGAACACCCTGTTTTTTATTTTAGAATTAAAAACTACATCAAAAATAATGTCAGTTAACTAAAGGTTCCCTATTACTATTATTATTAGTTTTCGATTTATTTGAATTTTTAAGGAAAAAAAGTCTCCCAGAAATTAATTGTTTACTCTTGTTTGAATAATTTTTAATTAACATTTTTTTTTCTTATGTGGGACATCCTGTATACATCTAACAAATTTTAAATTGTATCCCTCTGTAACCTACGTATTCCTCCCAAACGAATTTTTTATATCTTTGGTCGTTTTCCCATAAAGCTCCGTCCCGTTGAGCGTGAGCCACCCTGTATATATGTAAAGATATATCCAATACTGATTTATTAAATCGCATGTTTATGTTTATTAAATCAGAAAGTGAACAAATAAGAAAAGAGATTAAAAGTGAAAATAATAAAACTTTACAAAAAATAGATGCATGTCTTAACAGAATAGATCAAGTTGAACAGAAAACCAAAATTCTTGAAACAAAATGTTTAAATTTCGACAGAATAAGTAGTAAAAATAATATTATAATAATATGAATTGATATTGATCAAAATGAAGATATAATATCTTTGGTTATAAATAAAATAAAGGAGTTACTTGGAATAAATGTATCAGTGGCTGATATAAATTACTTATATAATATAAATTTAGGCAACAAAAAAGCTATTAAAATAGAATTCGTGTCCTTTTTAAAAAAGTCCCTAATATTAAGAAATTGCAATAAATTAAAAGGGAAAAATATTTATTTTGTTGAGGACTTGTGTTATGAGGATAGACAAGATAGAAAACTTCTTCAAAAACACTTAAACATAGCAAGGTCGCGTCATTATCATGCAAGAATTAAGGGCCGTACTTTAATAGTCAATAATTGATGTGTACACAATTAAATAATTACAACGAATGGACATAAGTGATGATATAAGTGAAAAGAAAACAGAAACACCTCCACATAGTCCTGATGCTAAACAAACAAAGATTAAAACAAATAGTGCCCCACCAACTCCATCTACAAATAACGACAAAAATGTACATTGTAGAAATCAAAAATCGACGTGTCTCGGCGATTTTCCTAACAAGTAACGAGTTAGATAGGGGGGGTAAGACTTATGGTGCTCACTGTATATACCTAGTCATTGTTGCAATCATCTATTATTAACAGATCTAGTTATTTAGCATCATACAATTGCCATCTTGAAACGTACCTTATATAAATATACTTTTGTACAATCTTTCACTGTTTAAGCTTCTAGTGAACCTTTGCAATATTGATAACTTATTATACTATTAAATTAATTTTGTCCAATCATTCAGTGCTTTATAGGTGGCGTCTACTATCGCACATGTGTAACTGCCTTTGTGATATACCTACTCTACTTTTGTGATATTACTACTTGATTTCAAGAACATTTTAATAATAAATTTATATAAATATTTTGTTTTATTTGAAATTTCCATGTCTCGATTGAGTTCTTACTATACCTCAATTTCATCCTTTGTGTATTACATTACACAAAGAACAATATAGTGTGTCCATGGATAAACTTGTAAAATATTTATTTTAAATTAAAAAAAAGTTATTTTTCATAATTTTTTTATGTGAATCGAATTTATTTAACAACCAAAATAAATTATGAAGAACTACTTTTCTAATTTAAAATAAATATTTTCACAAGTATATTTATGTTCATTCGTGGACACACTGCATACTGCTTTAGAGCTTATTAACATTATAACATCTATAGAACGTTTCAGAGCTACTTTCGTGGTAAGTGCTAGTCTGATGTTTTCCGAACTTCACTTTGTAACCTCTGTGAGATGTGCTATAAAAGTCTTGCCGTTGCGGACATTCAGCGGTTCTAGGGATATTATCTACATTAAAAGTACATTACATGCGAGCTTAAAGAGCCTAAAATTGCAGCTTATTAACTTAGATGGGATGTTTTTGTGTAAAAAAAAATAATTTTTTATAAAAATTGTTTAAATAAAAGTTGTTTTTAATATAATTCTCCATAATTTTTATACTATACATAATTTTACTAAAATGGACCGTATTTGAGATATTTGAAAAAATTTGTAAATTTTGAATTTTGAAGAAAACTCAAAAACGGATAAAGGAAGAAACATTAAATTTTAAACTTAAATTTATTTCGGCCTAAGGTGAAATGATTAGATTTTGGACCAAGTCGGAACATCTGGGGGGTACTTTATAGGAGGTCGTTTTTATATTTTACGGAATATATCTGTTGTTTATGTTTGGAGAAGAAAATTGTTCAAATAAAAGTTACTTCTAATATTATTATCTATAATTTTTGGCTTATGCCAAATTTTCCTGAAATGGTCCGTATTCGAGAAATTTGTGTAAAATTCTGATTTTTAAGAAAATTGTTAAACTAAAAGTTGTTTGCGATATCGATCTCTATAATTTTTGTTTTCTACATGATTTTTCTAAAATGGACCGTAATTGAAAAATTGGAGGAAAAGTACTAAATTTATATTTTTAAGTATTTCGTTTCCAATGATATCTATAGAAAAATATTTCAAGTTAGATGTATATGGAAAAATGTATATATTTAGTTTATCCTCTAAATATTTATAGAGATGCTGCAATAGGTTGTACAAAATAACCGGAAAAAGCCTATAATGACTAGATAAGAAAGTCATGTATTGGACACATTAGATTTTTTTTTGTACGGCTACATATATTAATTTTGAAAATCTCCATGACCGGACTCACTTTTTTATATTACCTTTCTTACCTAACCTATCACCTTGTATAAGTATCGTCTTTTTACTAAACGTTAATGAACATTTAAATAGTGCATGGATCAATAAATAAAATGTTATTAAAATATTAGATGGTACGTTCATGGCTTATATAGTATTATTTTAAATGATATTGTGTAAACGAAAATTGTAATCTATATAAGTGCACAAGATAACTGACAAAGGGGTCTATTCTGTAACAATTCCTTTATATTTAACGGCCTTTAAAAATATTGGCGGCCTTTAAAAATAGTTTCGTATTCGTTAATTTACTTCTATCATTATTTAAACAGATTTCTTTAAGATAGAACTCTAATGTATTTTAAAAATCCTTTTAAATAATTACAGAAGTAAAGAAGAAAATATTTTTAAAGGCCGTTAAATATAAAGGAATTGTTACAGAATAGACCCCATATTCATCTAAATATAAATTAGTAATGAATTCGAGAACATCGCTTCGCCAATAACCTATGGTTTTTTAATAATTCGTAATAGATAACAATAATTATTATGATTGTGGAGATAGACACATGCTATGGTGCACTTTTCTGTATGCCTTTTTAAGACCTACAATTTTCTAATACATTGTTTTGATGTATCTCTTAAGATTTGACCAGCGTTAGCCATGTAGGAGTTCGAAAAGTTTTTTAAATACCATCGTAGTTCATTTTGATTTACAAATCATATACCCAAACCTTTTTCGTGTATCATCACTGTTTTTATTAGTGAAAATCGCATTAAAATTTGTTGCTTGGTTTAGAAGAGAAAGCAGAGAACATCCGTCCGTTTTTGCCATTTTATTTTTTACCTATTATGTTTCGGGTTCCAAAGACATTCATGTTTTAAAAAAAAATCGATTAGTTGTAGAACATAATTATAAAGTGCTTGCAAGCTTATTATTTTTTAATCTATTATAGATCCCGTGGTCGACAGACTTTGTGTTTTGCTCATATATTTAATAATATATTAGATCAATTCTCTAACTAAACGCCGATTAAAACTTATAAATATTAATTAATAATAAGAAAAAACCCTAACAAACTACTATAAAAATAAAAGGTACATTGGTGCATTTAATATCAACCCATTTATTTCGTGTCCCAAAGAATGTTTTCAATGAAGTGATACATTAAAATATACTCAAATTTGGTCTCATTAACATTTAGATTATTTATTAACGCTCTATTTTAAGCAGAGTAAGATGTGTTAATCAAAGAGGTCAAAAGAATTAAAGAAAAATAAAAAGATGTTTACCTTCAATTTGATAAGAAGACGTTGCACAGCCGAAAAGGAAATTTTCTGGAAATTTCTTGTTATTTATCACAATGTCACCAGCAAAGCTAAAAGAACCTATGATATAATTTAATTAATACTAAAATAAAATAATTTCTATGAACTTCAATATAATTCTATAATTATAGTATCGGTGCAAATAATTGAAAAAAATAATAAAATACTTAACAATAGGCTTATTACTCACCAGGCACCAAAAATTAAAGTTAATAAATATAATAGCGAGGTCATGTTTAGGGCGATCGTGCGCTAGTAGAGCTTTTACAATTTCTGTATTATCGTTTTATCAGTGGATTGTTTAGGTACTTGTACCCTGATAAATTTGATAATTTGTTCTTCCAATCGTACTCTCAAAGGTTTTTTTCAGATAAAATAGTTTTTGTTGAATGTTTATTAATATTTTATTTAATTATTGATTTAGATAGCGGATAAAGTCCATCTCTCGAAAGAAGCAATTTTCTTTAATTTTGATAAAATTTGAGTAGGTAAATAAGTATCACTTTTGCCAATAAAACAAAAATATGAAAATACGAAAATACGAAAATACGAAAATACGAAAATACGAAAATACGAAAATACGAAAATACGAAAATACGAAAATACGAAAATACGAAAATACGAAAATACGAAAATACGAAAATACGAAAATACGAAAATACGAAAATACGAAAATACGAAAATACGAAAATACGAAAATACGAAAATACGAAAATACGAAAATACGAAAATACGAAAATACGAAAATACGAAAATACGAAAATACGAAAATACGAAAATACGAAAATACGAAAATACGAAAATACGAAAATACGAAAATACGAAAATACGAAAATACGAAAATACGAAAATACGAAAATACGAAAATACGAAAATACGAAAATACGAAAATACGAAAATACGAAAATACGAAAATACGAAAATACGAAAATACGAAAATACGAAAATACGAAAATACGAAAATACGAAAATACGAAAATACGAAAATACGAAAATACGAAAATACGAAAATACGAAAATACGAAAATACGAAAATACGAAAATACGAAAATACGAAAATACGAAAATACGAAAATACGAAAATACGAAAATACGAAAATACGAAAATACGAAAATACGAAAATACGAAAATACGAAAATACGAAAATACGAAAATACGAAAATACGAAAATACGAAAATACGAAAATACGAAAATACGAAAATACGAAAATACGAAAATACGAAAATACGAAAATACGAAAATACGAAAATACGAAAATACGAAAATACGAAAATACGAAAATACGAAAATACGAAAATACGAAAATACGAAAATACGAAAATAAGAAAATACGAAAATACGAAAATACGAAAATACGAAAATACGAAAATACGAAAATACGAAAATACGAAAATACGAAAATACGAAAATACGAAAATACGAAAATACGAAAATACGAAAATACGAAAATACGAAAATACGAAAATACGAAAATACGAAAATACGAAAATACGAAAATACGAAAATACGAAAATACGAAAATACGAAAATACGAAAATACGAAAATACGAAAATACGAAAATACGAAAATACGAAAATACGAAAATACGAAAATACGAAAATACGAAAATACGAAAATACGAAAATACGAAAATACGAAAATACGAAAATACGAAAATACGAAAATACGAAAATACGAAAATACGAAAATACGAAAATACGAAAATACGAAAATACGAAAATACGAAAATACGAAAATACGAAAATACGAAAATACGAAAATACGAAAATACGAAAATACGAAAATACGAAAATACGAAAATACGAAAATACGAAAATACGAAAATACGAAAATACGAAAATACGAAAATACGAAAATACGAAAATACGAAAATACGAAAATACGAAAATACGAAAATACGAAAATACGAAAATACGAAAATACGAAAATACGAAAATACGAAAATACGAAAATACGAAAATACGAAAATACGAAAATACGAAAATACGAAAATACGAAAATACGAAAATACGAAAAGTAATTGAAATAAAATTAATTTAGATTTACTTGAGGTTAAAATTTATTCGGCCTTATTTTATAAAAATTATTATTTCGTTTTTTCTAAAAATATTTTCAGATCCTATGAAAATCATATTTCCCCATTCCCTCGGTCTGTCTGTCGTCATCTGTCGTCTATATGTCTTTTCGCGTGATAGCCTCAAAACGATTAAGGGAAAATCTTTAAATTTTTTATGCATATAAGGTTCCTTTCTGGCTCAAAATCAGGTATACTTTTGGTCATTTTTATATCATTTATTTTTTTCCATATATCAACCCTAATTTTGATTTAGAATTTTGTCAGAATCGATAGACTTCATCTTCTAATAGAGCTTGATTTTTACTAAAAATTTCATGTTGATATCGCTTTTCTGTTTTGATCTGTTTTTTTTCTATTTCAACCTCCCATTTTGTTTTTTTAAACAATAGTATAGAGCGCGTTTATTTGCTAAAAATTTCAAGTTGATATTTTTTGTTTTTAAGTTAGATTTTGTTTTGTTTTTAAGTATTTCCCCTTATAGAGCTTGATTTTTCTGAAATTTTCAAGATATCATTTTTCATTTTTGACTTATCGTTTGGATAAAAAACGTGACATCGGACGAAGTAAACCTATATTACTATCATAGACTACTGTGTGAATAGTAGGATAAATTAAAAGGGGAGATAAGGGGGATTGATATAATAAAAAAATATAAACTAGGAAACAAAAACGATATTAAATTAAAATCTTTAGGAAAAATCAAGCTTTATGAGAGGATAAAGTCTACTGATTCTGAAAAAAATCTGATTAAAAATAGGGCCGTTAAGAGGTCTTGAAATAAAAAAAATTAACTAATACCAAGCATTATATATCATCATTCTGATTGAATTTATAATTAAATCGTTTTGTTTTTGTTTCAGACCAACATAATAGATGGAATGTCATAATGGAGAAAGAAACTGTCAATTCTAGTCTTGCCTTTTGTAGAGGCCCTGAAGTATCGTTTCACTTTGCTACTGTTCATTTTTTATGTTAAAAAGAAAATATTTTATTGTTTGATATAAAAAAAATGTAACCTATCTGTGTCAGTTATAGTTTTTATATACCTACCTTACATTGTCTTTTTGGATTACACTGTATTTTTACCGGATAAACCAATTTAAAAATACAAATAAATCACAAGGTAAATCACAACCCAAACTAATTACAGGATAATTTCTAAATTTTAAATAAATCACAAGGTGAAATTACAAACTTGTCAAAAAATATAGTAATGTTACATTAAACAAATACTTGCAGGTGGAAAAATCCAGTTTTTACTGTAAAATAAATATAACAAGTTTATTTTTAATTTTAAAGTAACCAATTCGTGTGTAACTGCGGCCAATGCAATTTTACAACGATAGGGTGCATATTATATCATTCTAAAGCGACTGTAAATTTACAGTTAAAATCACTGACCACGAGTAAACAATGACTAGTTATACTTTCGGATTGAAGTGTCTTTAGTTTAAAATAATGACTTAAGTCGTCGTTGTTGAATATTTTAAATCAATATCTCGTTTGTTATACTATCGCAGCACTATGTATTTCAGATGTCATCTCTTTAAATTTCGTGCAAAAAATTTCCTTACGTATAAAGATGAATAATTTTGAAATAAATAAAATATTTATTGTTAAAAAAGTAGAAGTCTAATGTGCATAATTGAGCTATGAAATACGTTAAACATATTCATATTCTCTTATATTTAATACAAAAAAAAATCTGAAAAATATTTTGTTAATTTAAACAATTTATTTAATTTTATAAAAATATTAAGTTAATTTTATTGGTTACTAAAAAATAATCTTATTTTTAAATAAACAAATTTGTAGCTTGAATTAAACAAAATAATTTATTTTGTAACGTTTATTTTAAAAATAGTTCATTTATTTAAAACAGTTTATTTTTAATTTATTAATTTATTTATATTAAAGCACTATTATCACGTTAAGCGAGTTTTATGATAAAAATGTTTCACAATGAATGTGTTCTTAAATAATTTTGGGACTATCTGTCACGTTATAAGTGTTCTTAATAAAAATGTTACGTTTTGCGTGCTCTTTAATAATTAAGGGATTATCTATGTCCCGAGGGTTGAATAACAAAATATAACACTCTGGGCATACATAACGTAAGAACTCTATATTGCCTTAAACTTGGCTTCGTAGCTCTTAACTGTATAAGGATTTTACTCTTGATGTTAGAACCTAACTCGTTCCTGAAAAGGGGCTGAAGAAAACACAATGTTCTCAAAACAAATATAATATAATTTAGCTAACTGTTCAAAACTCAATTAATAAAAATACAAAAAAATACCTAATTTAAACTATAGAGATCCTGAGCTGGATCTGCTACTAAGAATCTTCTACAAAGGGGGCCTCCTATAGGGAGTATCCTTCCCTGTGGAAAAAGCCCTTCGCGTCCCATCGACAATACGTTTATAATTTTTTTTATAGTTTAATATGTTTATTATAAAACTAATGTTTAATAATTATTAAATAACCAATCTTGCACAAAAAAGTTTTACAAAAATAATCAGTTTTAAGAGAATTAAATTTTAAACTGTTTTTCCTTTTGTTTTATCATACTCTTTATCAGACTGATTTTGCAAACATGTTGGGAAGAAATTAATTATTATATAGTGTATTTTTAATTTGTTTAATTGTACTTGTTATTTTCTTAATTTTCAAACACACATCAAAGTACTGTTAAAAGTAAACAAAGTGGGTCATATAAATGATGGGCCTTACAATATATGAAATTTTATATAAAAAAAATGAATAATACGGATTCTAATCTATTTACCGAAAGTTGTTTAATAGAAAAAACATTGTAAATATCGTATATATATATATAGCACTATAAAATGATTAAGTTTATCTTTGATATGTTTTTAATATAAAATATCACATTTTGTATATTTTAAATTACTTCATGGACGTGACTATTTAACCGTCAATATAAATCTTAGATTTGTGTTTGCAGGGATACTCGTCATCGTCAGAAAACAACTTTTGTTAATTATAAATTACATTAGGCGAGGCAAGAGTCGTATAGCATTATATAATGTTCCAATATAAATTACATTTATATACCCCAAAAGATATTAGCTGTAGATTCTTTTTACAAATTTGACTCTATTACCATTGGGTACAGGTAGACAGGCACTATTTTACATCATATGTGGTTAAACAGCCACTGCCATATTTAAAATGGAGAATTTCCACCT